TACATTACTGTATAGGAGAGAGTTTTTACAACATTTTCTGACATTTTTGATACATGTACTTTTGATCATTGAGGTATTGATTTATGTACAAAAGTACATGTACATGTACTTGGAAAGAATATACATGTACATGTATTATTAATTATTATTAACTATTACATTACCATTCCTCCATTAGTTGTCAGTTACACTTGTTCCAGTTGACTTGTCTCTCTTCTTCGGTTGGTCTATCTCACTCCTTCTCCCTCCCCCTCCTCTCTCCCCTCCCTGAGGTACCCTCCCCTGTCTTCATTAAACTGGACCACGTCACCTACCCACTGGTATCAGTCTCTATTGAAGGGGACGTGGCAGTGGGCGGAGTCACAGAGTCCTATTACATGTTGCGAGTGCCGGTTTCCCTCTCCTTATCTTCCGCTGGTTTCTGATGAGCAGATCCCTCGGTCTTTCTTTAAGATTGAGTCGTTAATTAGAATAAGTACCAGTAGCGCCTTTGATCACATGACAAGGATCATATCAAGTGAGACACGCCCACTCAATTAATTAATAACAATTTATTATTAATTTTTTTGTGTCGCAAGGTACTTCAAAATTAAAGCGAAAGATAAAGTACATGTTTTATTATTATTATTGGGGCGAGCCTGAGTGAGCCCCACATAAACGACACGAGTATGTAAGTCTGTTTGTTTGTACACGTACGTCACCCCTATTTATCTATATGAAAAAATTTCCAATTTTTAATAAACTTGATAATCTTCATTGAAAACAGGTGTGGTCACAGGGAAATAAAATGGCGGCTTACTAGATCAAAACTGGACTTTAGCAAGACTGATTAGACTGTACTGCTGTGAAAATGCAGCAAAGAGGTTAAGAAAGCAGACATGTTTTGTTCTTTATTGATGTAAATAACTCTGATAAAGTGAATGTCAGTCACAGCCAGACTGCCAGAGACAGCCCGGCCTGCTCAACAACTATATATAACTTAAATTGGAGTTGGAGCATGCAAGAAACTGCTACAGTTGCCTATCTAGCTATATCATTTGTGCAATGACTGCTTGTAGCTATCCTTAATGCTTGCTAAATGCTATAAGCAAGGTAACTTTAATTGTTGCTGAGATCATAATGGTAGATTATCAAGAACTACATCCATTAAGCTCTGAGCCTGCTCAGTTGCATAACTTGCATCATCTTCATCATCATACATGAGCATTGTTAGTCTGTCAAGATCTATTGTATGTACATTGCTTTGCTTGCTGAGGCTCGCCCCTTCAATGTTTTACATTCGTCTAGTTATTATTATTATTATTATTATTATTATTATTATTATTGTTAGTTGTTGGATTCTTCTCTGTTGGTTCCTTCTGCTAAGAGGTTGTGTCTTTATCCTGAAGTGCCCCTCCCCCCTCTCTCTGGTCTCCTAGCAACACAAAACATGATCACATTCCTCCAAGCAACAGTAAACAATAATATCAACATATTGTCATCCTTATGCTGTGTAGCAAGTTTGAGCTGATTCTGACTTCAATTTTTCCAAGTTACGGCCATTTAAAGAAAACGTCAAA